CGGAAGGAAACTTGATTGTTGCAAATCCATGTGATTTTGGACAAATAGGATTGTAGACTGATGTAAAAGACACGCAATTTTAAGTTTACGCCGACCAGAATAATCTGACCAGCTGAACTCAAATAATTGGTGTGGCTGGTCACTGCCATGCCATAGGCCAGATGACCACCACGTCACATGACCTCTCTTCGAAGAAGAGTTTCTTCTAAAGAAAAGGGTTCTTGTTTTTCTTTGATTTACAGTAGAGGTCTATGAGTCCAGGAATTTGCGTTAGGTTCTCTATGGGCTTTCCAGTGGCTTCCTTCTTGGTTTTACCAATCCACCAGACTTTGTACTGCGGTTTTCCTTGTATTTGCGATGTCCAATGACGGCTTCAACCAGTTGTCCCTCGGAGCCGTCGGCTAACACAATCTTGTTTACCTTTTGTCTCCGCTTGTGGTCTTTAGCGGTACGGCTTCAATAGTGAGGTATGGAACACCGAATGCAGCTTCAATCCTTGCAAAAGTCCTAAATCATACGAAACTCGAGATACCTTCTTCTGCACCGGGAAAGGTCCAATAAACCTCGGAGCTAACTTCTTCGACTGTGCATACCCCTTGTGGCGAATGTCCAAGTTCTTTCCGTCAAGTAGCACCATATCACCAATCTCAAAGTCTTGGACAAGTCTGTTCCTGTCGTAATAATGCTTCATGAGCTCTTGGGCTTCACTCATACGGTCTTGCGCGACCTTGAGGAAGGCTTCTTGTCGGAGTAAAAACTCTCTTGCTGCTTCTCCTTGAACTCCGGATCTGACGAAACATCTTCGGGCATGCATAGAAAATACTCAAGATCAGCTTCAAACGGTGACATACCAATCGTAGCATGCACACGTCGATTGTAGGCAAACTCTGCCATATGAATAAACTCATCCCAATCGTTCTGGGCTGAGTTAACGACCCCACAAAGATAATGTCCGATAAAACGGTTTGGACGTTCCGTCTGTCCATCCGTCTGTGGTTTAAACGCCGATGACAGGTTGTGCAGCGTTCCCATAGCAGATATAACAGCCTGCCAAAACTTGAACATAAATTTGGAGTTACGATCAGACACAATCGGCTTCGGAAGGCCATGACCTTTACATAGTTCTTCATGAAAACAATCGCATAATCTTCTGCGCTGTCCGTCGTCTGTGCTGCAATGAACTTTGCACGCTTGGTCAATCGATCCACGATGGCCATGATGGTGTTACAACCAACCTTACTGGGAGGTAAGGACACACGAAATTCATCAAAATGTCGATTCATCTACCCCTTGGTACATCCAGCGGTTGAAGTAATCCCGGCGGTTTCACTTGTCTCGCCTTGTTGCTCTGACACATTTCACAAGTGTTGCAATAACGCTGGATATACTTCATCGTTTTCGGCCAATAGTACTTTTCTCGTACTACGACGTAGGTCTTGTAAGACCCGGGATGGCCTGCCGTTATTGTATCATGGTTCTCGCAAATGACACGGTTTCTCAGACCTTCGTCATCCAGAATATACAGTTGCGGACTTTCATCTTCACCAGTCTGATAGTATAAAACACCATCATTGAGCGACTAATGTGGGACCTTGTCTCCAAGCTTAAGCTTCTTGATAACCCGCTGTAAGTACTTGTTTCATAAATACATCTTCCTAGCGGACTGTGCCGCTGTCATGTTGTTCGCTACCATGGTTGCCACAATTTCTCGTTTTGGGCCGTATCAATAAGTTCCTGAAGTCTCACTTGCGCAGCCTTATTCTCAAAGTTAGGGTTTCTTGATAGTGCGTCTGCGACTACATTAGTTTCTCCACGGATCCACTTGAGCATGGGTCGTAACTCCGCGAGTTCATTGAACCACCGCGCAATGCGTCGATTTGCTGTCTACTGTGTAATAATCATCTCGATGCTCTTATGATCTCTTTCAACAATGAAGGGCTTGTCCAGTAGATATACACGCCATGTTTTCAGCGCATGCGTGATTGCGAGTACTTCTTGTTCACGCACTGGGTAGTTCAACTCTGCAGCTTTCATCTACCGGCCAGTAAAAGCAATTGGATGAACCAGTGGTGATGACAAGCGTTTCTTTAACTCAGTAAAACAGCGTAGTTGGTTCTCATCGAGCTCGATAGCATCTCGAGAACGTTTTCCTTTGATACATTCATGCAAATGACCTGTGAACTGCGGAAAATCCTTACAGAATCTCGAAACGTAAGCGCTTGTCCCAAAAATCTTTCCATTTGCTTCTTGGTCTTCGGGACTGGTCATTAGGTGATAATCGTCACCTTATC